AAACGCCTCGCGCTAAGATCCTCGAGAATACGCGGTTTATCGACAACGCTCCCCCCCCCCTCCCCCCTCCGCCGATTTTTTCCCATTATCATCACCTCTCGAATAATGGTCTCGAATAACGCGCCTAGTCGCGCACGCCGTCACGACTTATCTCTCTCGAACAGATATCGCGGCGCGTTACTTATCAAAGATAAGTTAAGTCAGTAGTTTCCAGGCCAGTTCCAGTGTTGTCGCGCTGTTGTTGGCCCCGTTTCCGCGACCGCCCGTCGTTCTTTCTTCCTGGAGAAAAAAAAAAAAAACAACGAGAAAGAGAGAGGGATCGAGACGAATGAAAGAAAGGAAAATGAACGATCGAGGTTCGAGGGGCGAGAATCCGTTTCCATCGTCGAGACGCGTTTGAGAGCTCGAGTTCGATAGTTTCGTTTTTTTTTCGAAAGACGATGTGAAAATTTGGAATCATCGGTGGACGAAAAATGACGCCTCTGATCAATCATCCGACTCTGGCCACGATTTCTCTCCTGGCCCTGTTCTCGATCCCTGCCCTCTGCCAAACCAACTGCCCCGCGACCTGTCTGTGCCACCTCGACCAAATTCCAAGGGCTGTCATGTGCGCGAGCCAGGGATTGGACGCGTTCCCCGAAAATATCAGCGACATGGTAAATCTCTCTCTCTCTCTCTCTCTCTCTCGAGTCGAAATATATTCGATGATCGTTTCTTTCTTAATAATAATATAAAATCTCTTTTTCCCCCCGAAACAAGCAGATTTGTCTTCCTCTCTTTCCTTTTCAAGTGTCTGTCGAGCGATATATCGAAGCAAATCGAGGCGAAGATTTCTTTATCGCGGTTTGAAAAACGCAGGATGAGTCATTCTCGCGAAAAAAAAAAAAAGAAAAGAAAAAGATATCTCGAGGATCGCGCGTGAGATCGAAAAAAAAAAAAGAAAAAAAGAAAAATTCGTTGCCTTACAGAATAAAAATCGGATCGATTAATTATTGTTCGTCGTTCCCCAGACAACGAGGTTGGATCTGTCGGGGAACGCGGTGACGAGCATCCCCGGTGACGGGATCAACCGATTGGCGGAGTTGGAAATTTTGAATTTGGCCGGGAACAAGATAGCCTCGCTGCCTGACGACGTAAGCTCGTTGAAAAGTTTGCGAGAATTGGATCTGAGCGGGAATGTTATAAAGGAGACGTCCGATATCAGATCGTTGGGACAATTGCCGTCGTTGAAGGTACTCTACCTGTCGAGAAACCCGTTGTGCTCGTTGGACGGATTGATAAGCGGCAGCCTCGAGGCCCTGGACGCCGGCCAATGCGGTATACACATCTCCTTAAACTCCCCTCCCCTTCTCTAAAATATAAAAATAATTTTAAAAGTTATTATTTCGATGTTTCTCCCCTCTCGTTCGAATAAAAGGAATAAGGGTGTTGGGCAACTCGTCCCTGGACGGCCTGCCGCAACTCACGATGCTTACCCTCGTTGGAAATCCTTTGACGACCATTCACGACACGTGGAGCCCAAAATTAAAATGGTTGGACGTGTCCGATTGCCGGTTAAACTACTTGCGGCCCGATACCTTCGCTGGATTTCCGGCCCTCGACGAGCTTCTCATATCCAACAATCCAACTTTGGTGTACAGCATGAGGTCGATTCATCGAAAAAATTATTATCGACCGTTGGTCAACCTGGTATTACATATATATATATATATATATATATAATCTGTGGTGGAATTTTTTTCAGAAATACGACGTTGACGCATCAAGGATTGAGAAAGCTGGACGCGTCGAGGTGCAATTTGGACAGGCCGGGCCTCCACGGTTTTCCCTCGTTGACGCACGCCCGATTGACCCGTAACGCGATCCGAATACTTCCCGATCGAATATTCGCGAGGAACAGGCAACTCGGTTTCCTCTACTTGAACGGGAACGGGCTCGAAACGTTGAACGCGAGCACGTTCGAGGGCCTGGTGAAGCTTCAAACGTTGGACCTGTCGGCGAACAATCTGGAGAAAATTCATCCGTACACCTTTCACGAGAACATCGAGTTGAAAATGTTGAATTTGTCGTACAACGTTTTCTACGAGTTGCCGAAACTCACCTCGGCCGTGACAACGTTGGACGCCTCGTCGAATCTGATCAACCGTTTGAACGCGAATTTGTTCGCCAATATGCCGAGGTTGAGAAACATCGATTTGAGCGATAATCGTATACAAAAGATACCGTCCGGATTGAGATCGATTTCGTTGAGGAATTTCGATCTAAGGGCGAACAGGATAGTCGAATTGGCGAATGACACTTTTCTCCTCTTGCCGCAGCTTAGAAGGATCGATCTATCAGGTTGATTGTTTTTTCTTTTCTTTTTTTTAATTTGTTTAATTAAATTTGTTTTAATTGCGACCGAATTTAATAATTGTAACATCTACATATATAAATCTTTTTAGGAAATCGATTGACAGAGATGACAGATCCAGAAATCTTTCGAAACAATCCAAATTTGGATATTATACATTTGGAGGATAATCCGTGGCGTTGCGATTGCAACGAATTGTTCGTTATGTATAATTACTTGACGGAACCACCGGGAAAAACATTGGACCAAAGTTTAATTTGTCAAAGTCCGTCGAACGTGTCCGGTTATAGTTGGCTGGTCGCTTGTTTCGACGCATGGCATAAACCATTTGATTACAACAAGGACAGATCATGGGGATTCGCGATGATCGTTATTCTCACGCTCATCATATTATTCGGTAGCTTCGTGTCCATTAAACACATGATGAAGATAAGGAGAAGGGCTATCGAACAGAGACGACAATTAGAAAACCTTAGTTTATTGAGACAAAGAAGGTAAGAAATAATTTCCATTAAAAATGGTTTTTCACGATTTTCTCGTGCAAAAATGTTACGTGCATACACGTAAACGTAACAGATCGATTTATTCCAGATTCCTATATTATCATATTATTAAAACAGATTTCTATATTATCTATATATGATGAATGAATCTGCCTTATCTCAATAGATAATTAATTATCTGCCATACAAATTTATTCAAAAAAAGCTCACTTTTGACAGGAATCAAACACAAGTTACGGTAGAAGAAACCGTCGAACACCGACCAGAACCAAGAATCAATCCTCTTGAATTGATAGAACCACCCAGTTACGAAGAAGCGGTACAGATGCCGAGATTGACTCAATCTTTGGACAATTTGGATAATATTTCGGTGGAAACATCTTCCGTGCGTATTATGGGTTCCGTCGATAACATAAGGAACAAACAGAGAAGAGGGAGGAAATCGAAGAGAATTCAGAGCGTGGATGATTTGCTGAGGAGGGAAGAGCGGCGGCAAGAGAGAATCAGGAGGGAAAGGAATAACTCGGCCGATAACAACGAGACCAGTTTACCATCGAGTCAAAGAATATGCGCAACGCGTAGGGCGAGAAGGCAGAGTGTAATAAGCGATACAGTGGAATCAGGAAGCGGAAGAATTCGAGCCAAACCGCAAACACCGAGTACAAGAAAAAGAAGACAAAAGTGCACAGTTTACAACGGCCATTCGACCGATGATGAAGACTCGGAACCAGTCGATTCGCGTAAATCGATCGTCATCAGGGAGCTTCGAAGAGAGCCGAGAAGCGGTTACAGAGAATCCACGGTAGAGCCCGATTCCTGCGATTAATTAATTCGTTATTAGTGAAAATAAATTTTTTTTAAGATTATTGTTGACAATTTTATATTTTTAATAAATTTAATAGTTTTCCAAAATCTGATCGTAATCGTTATTTTGAGGTTAGTTTGAGCGCAAAAACGTAACTCTGTAATAACGGTTTCTGTAATAACTTTGATAAATATTTAATATTTTCGTATCGCGTGTATATCAGACATTTCACATTTTCTTTTCTTTTTTTTTTTTTTTCTAATCATCATAATTTATTCGCGTAATCAGATCAAAACACGGAAATTTTAACCAAACTACATGGAAATTTCAACTCAATTACAAGCAATTTCAGATATCAGATCGAAAAACGGTTCTAGACTCTACTTGCCACCGCTAGGCAATAATTTGTGTAACAACAAACGTATCATTTATCGTAATACACGAAGCGAAGAGAATTTTAATGCGGATCCCGGAAAATATAAACTTCTTAAGTGGTAAATGACGACGTTAATCGGACATTGTATGCAGGCACCGTTAATTTTCATCTCGATATAACAAATTAATAACAATTTTCAATGTTACTTTCATTTTCAATTAATATTTTATATACTCGTTCAAATTGTGATGAATAAGTTACGATAACCGATCGTAACGATTGTTCCTAATTAATAGTGAATAATTATTGAATTACAAAAACGAAAAAAATATTTTCATCGCTATTCCTTTTTTATCTTTCTCTTCCTTTTTTTTTAAACGTTTCGTTTTGTTTTTTTTTTTTTTATTCAACTATAATCTACAATCCGTAGACGCTTAAGAAGTGTGATATCGATGAAAAGAGACGCATATAAATTTTTTAAAAATATTAATATTTTTTCTTTTTTTTTTTTATTTCGCATTCATTGTTAAAATTATATAAACGGTTGAAAAATATATCGAGATATTATGATTTCTATATCGTACAATTCGTACCTATACATAACAACGTTTACATTTGATAAATGCTGCATGGAAAAAAAAAAGAAAAAAAAGATTTATCCAGGGAACAAGGTAAAATGGCGGATATATTAACGTGTTATATGATTGTATCACGAAGGATCGAGCAATCCCCCCTCCCCCCACCCCTCCCCCTCCTTTACCCCTTCTTTTCCATCATTTCAACGACGATCACAGTATCAACGGCACGATTTCACTTTGTTGAGTGAACAAGTCGAACAAAGCGAACAAAGCGCGCAAGAGTCCAAACTTCATCGCGAACAATTATCGCGATAGCAGTGCGAGTACGCGTGTTTACGTTCTCTTTGGAAGAATTTTTATTCGGGGGGATTTTTTTTTTTTCACTCCTCTTACTTAATTAACTTAAAATTCGATTATTTTACACATTTGGTCTTGGAAAAAGTTTATCGAAATTTGGCATGGAGAAAGGTGTGAATGCAGAGAGAAATGGAAATATATATATAACTATATCCATTATTCTCTAACGCGTCTAATAATTATTCCTTCTTTTATCTTGTTGGAATTTTTGTATATATAGAAAGGATTGTTTAATAATAAAGTATACAACAGAAATCAAAGTTGAATTTTTCATAAAAATTCGATTTACAAGGCAAACACGATTTGGCGTTTTACTTTAAAGTTTAAAATTCTCAAGTTACCTTCAAGTCCTTCTTTAACTTTAAAACAGCTATCTTAAAAACTAACTTAAATTCTTAAATTTATTCATCGTCCGATATGCGATCGATGACGATTGAACAATCGTCGTGAAAGGGATGACGATACGATTAAATCTGGAATGGAATCGTTGTATAAATACATTATAATATGATATTTCGTATAAATTAATTTCCTTTTTTTTTTCTTTTTTTCTTTTCTTCCTTCTTCTTCATTCAAAAAAAAAAAAACTCAGAGTCATCACGAGACGCGTTATCGAACTCGAAAAGGCTCGTCGTGACGACATTACAGAGACGGATGTTTAACCAAGTTTAGAGTGATTGTGACAATATATAAAGGCGAGGATTCTCTCACCGTTTATAGCATCGTTAAACGTCGAAACAAGAATGGTGGTGGTTGAGTTCAGAGGATTCTAATGGAACTTATATCGTAAAACCGGACGTACATTCGACGTTCGAGAAGGGATACCGTTTAAGAGGTGACTGACTAGTGTGCTAATATTGCGTATACATATGTAAATATAAAATTAGTAGTAGTGATAATGATAGTAGTAGTAGTAATAATAGTAGTAGTATCAAATAGGTTTTCCATCCACAAACCTTATAACAAACGGCATAATTATTATTGTTATTATTATCATTATAATTATTATTATTATTATTATTATTATTATTATTATTATTATATTCTATTATTATTATATTCTATTATTCGCAAATATGTACAATGAAATCGCGTTTCACAGAATCCCTCCTCCTTCCTCTCCCGTTTAGTAACCGAATACTAAACGAATCGTCGTTTGTAACAAAAAACTGTACGTGTATATACGTGTGTGTATATATATTTATGTGTGTGTGTATATATATATATGCGCGCGTATATACTTTCTTCGCTCAACAAGAAGAAGAAGAAGAGACAGCAATCCAGCAGTTTGTCGGACGCACAAGAAAAATTCGTGAACACAAACTCGGATATCGACATGTGACAACAACACAAGAAAAAGAAGAAGAAGAAGAAGAAGAAAGAAAAAAAAAAAGAAAAAGAAAACTCACTGTATAAATCGTCATAAAAATTCGATCAACAATTCGTTGTCTAACTTTTTTTTTTTTTTCTTTTCCTTTTCATCTCTTTTAGGAACACTGGCGGCAACACTCGATCAATCCTACCACGCGAATCCAACGCACGTGGAACGCACCTCTTTTTTTTTTCTTTCTTCCTTTCTTTCATTCACTCATCCATCCATTTCTTCTTCCCTCTCCTCCTTTCGAATTTTCCATCCGTCGACCGAATCAACCATCGTTTTCTTCCCTCGAGGGAGGGGGGAGGGGCGATCTCAAGGCGTCTTGACTAGATTCTCACCGTTCGACGTTCTCGTGATGAGTATAGGCGTCTTTGGCACGCTGTCAGGATTCTCTTGGACCGTGATCTTCACTCTCTGGGCGCCAGGGCTCAACGGGGGCTGCTGTTGTTGTTGTTGTCGTTGTTGTTGCAACACACAATCCTCCACGGCGTCCTCCCTCGACGCGTCTCCATCGATCGAGTCCCTCCTGCTCCTCCTTCCCCGCGAAGGGGATCTCGGTCTCACCTCAGACTCGGTTACGGCGCTTCTCTTCGGTATCTCGGCGGTGATCCGACGATCGTTCGAGACCTTGATCTCGTCGCGATCTGTTTCGGGATCGACGACGAGGGGGGCGCTCTCCACGTTCCCGTTCGAGGCGACCTTCGCCTGCGCCCCCGCGTTGGCCGTCTCCAACAACGCTTTCTGCATGTCCTTCAACTCGGTCCCGTTCTCCACGTCCCCCCGTTTCCTCCTCCTCCTGCAGAACCCGCCCTTGTACGCAGCGAACCCGATCAGCGTGGCGAGAATTGCCAAAAGGGCGGCAAGCACCACGTACGAGCCCATCCCCTTCTTCGATTGCCTGGTAGGCGAGGCCAACTCGTCCCCGTTCCCCTCCCCATCCTCGTTCGCGATCTTCATGTTCCCCAATTTGCTCGATTCGTTTACACCCGGGACGAGGATGATCTCGGTTGTGGTGATGGTGGCCGCGATGCTGCTGCTCGTCGACGTTTTATCCTCCTCCTCCTCCTCCTCCCCCTCCTCCTCTTCCAACCCCTTCTCCCCCTTGGTCACGTCGATGAATTGCTCCTCCTCCAGGTCGGGGCCAGCCTCGTTCGTCGAGCTGGTGCTCTCCTCCGTCGTTCCCCAAAGTATGTTGTACAGGCCGTCGAACAACGAGAACCCCTCTTCCTCTTTTTCCTCGATGGATGGGTCGAAACCAGCCCCCCGGTTCCCGAACCCTCCATCCCCGAGCCCTCCACCTCCTCCTCCTCCTCCTCCTCGTCCAAAGAGCCTGAACCCTCGGTGGGATAGAACAGGCCATCCTCGTGTATCTTCTCGTTGGCGAACGTCTTCGACGACGGCTGCTCCTCCTCCTCCTCTTTCACCTCGCCCGCCCTGGTCGAGGTTTCAGCTTGGGAGGGGGACTCCACCTCCTCGAAGAAGGGGGTGGAGACCGGGGGTGGGGGCTCGTCGATCTCGCGGAACGGGGTCTCGCTCTCCGCTCGGATCGTGGTCGAATCGACGATCCGTATGATCTCCATGCTGTCCTCCCCCTCCTCCTCTTTTTCCTCCTCCTCTTCCTGCTCTTGCTCCTGCTCTTCCTCGTCGTCGTCGTCGTCGTCGTCGTTGTCGCGTTTGTCGGACGAATCCCCGGAACCGTCGTGATTCTCGTCACCCTGATCGTTCTGCATCCCGAGGAGATCCTGCTCCTCGAATCGGCAAACGATCGCGGCGTCCAACTTTTGCAGGGGGATCCCCTTCGACATGGCCGGGGACGCGCATGTAATATTCCCCCCCAACTTCACTCCACTGTTCACTAACAGATCCCTGGTCGCGAGAGTGGCGCAGTCGCATCGAAGGGGATTACCTTGGAGATCGAGGTGTTTGAGGAACTTGAGCCGGCCCAGTTCGGGAGGCAAGTGTTGAAGACGATTTCCGCGAAGGTTGAGGCTGTGCAATCGGTCGAGTCCGTCCATGGAGCCCGTTTCTATATCGCGGATACGATTCTCGGCTAGGTTCAAGCTTGTCAGGTTGGAGAATCGTCGAAAGGTGCTCGTCTTTATCCTTTCCAGGGAGCCATTCGACAGATCTAGGTCGCGGAGGCCGGTGACGACGTCCGACGGGTGGAGGTTCGGCTCACTCACGTGCTCCTTCATCGAGTTCTCGAGCTCGATTTCGATGTATCTGAAGTCCTTGAAGGTCTGGCAACGTGCACTCGTTTCGTTCTTTACCACGCACAACCTCTCGAACGATTCCGCGTGATCCGAGAGGATGAAGAGCAATGATAGGAGCACTGTCGTTAACATTTTCTCTTTCTCTCTCTCTCTCTTTCTCTGATCCGATTCACACCTGTCGAAAGAGAAAGGAAGATATGATATTCGTTAATATATATATTCGATGGTTTTTGTGTTTTTAATAAGAAGTTGAATGTAATTGGTTAAATAATTCCCTATTTTTCCCCAGAACTTGGTTGGGGGAATAAAATTCGCGAAGAATCGGAACATAGATAATATTTCACACTTGTCGAATGGGAAAAAAAGATATGATATTCGTTAGAAACGATACATTTATAGAAATGATAATTTCTGTATGTTTTTTTAAGAAGTTGAATGTAATTGGTTAAATAATTCCCCAGAATTTTCGAACTTGGTTGAGGAAATAAAATTCGGCGGAGAAAGGGCGCGAAGAATCGAAACACAAATGGCGATTCACACTTGTCGAAAGAGAAAGAAAGATATGTATTCGATCGAATCGATATATTCGATAATTTTGTGTATGTTTTTAAGAAGTTGAATGTAATTGGTTAAATAATTCCCCAGAATTCTTGAACTTGGAGGAATGAAATTCGGCGGACAGAGGGCGCGAAGAATCGAGACACAGATGGCGATGCTGTCGACGGTTATTAGTCGGTGAAATCGATACGAGATAACTTTCATCGTGGTTATCTCGTGGTCGTAATTTTTTTTATTAATTACATTCGTGCATCGATACGAACGAAACAAGGGCGAACAATGGTGTCAATTATCCGAATTATTGCCTCGAACAACAAAGGGCGTTTGATTCGACCGGTTTCAAGGCGTACAAAGAACTCATGGTGTGCAAGTTGCCTCCTCCCTCCCCTCAGGCTAACTAGGTGATTACGATCGAAGGAAAAAAGTGGGTTTCAGTGCTTGTGCGTTTCTCCGTGAAAGCTTCGAACGACAACGACGACGACGACGACGAGGTTTCCTCGAAGAGAGTGTGAATATATGGAAATCGTCGAACGATGACGTCATGTCCGCGCGAATAATATGCAAATGTGAATGTAAATAACGACGAAAGTAACGTGGTCTTGTCGTCAGCTAGTCTACGAATCTAGAGGCTAGAGACTGAATTTACGTGATTGGCATTCTACGTGGGATTAAAAGATAGCGTGTCTTTAATTTCTTTTTTTTTTTTTGCTTTTTTGCATTAATGATTTTCTTATATTTATAATCTTTATATTATATGAGATATTTAAATATTCGTTAAGTACAAGTTTATTGATACATTCCACGAGAATGATGTGTATATATATATATATATATATATATATATATATATATATATATATATAT